TGTCATGGCTCGGCAGAAGCCAGGGGGGCTAGAGTATGCCTCCCTGCTCTGCCGAAGCAGACAGCTTAGGCTAAGGCTAATCCCTTAGCCCTGAGAGTGGCAGTTTGCAGGGAAGGTGCAAAGCATCCTGGAATGCTGGGGGACTGTGAGTTAACTTGAATCTGAAGGGAACCTGGGACAGAAGTTCAATAAACCAATTTAACCTAAATCAGTTAAGTCTGATATTACATCCATCCAGGTTCATCTTAAACTGGTTTTGGCCATTTTGAAAGTGGTTTATGTACACTAAACTTCTGTTGTGCTACAGACTTGAACCAGTTTCCAATCACTTATACTGGTTTATGTATAATTTCTGTCCATAGTCTAAAGGTGCATATCTACCCTGCCTTCTGACTGACTTCAGACTAACACAGATAACTACCTCTCTCTGCTTACAGCAGTGAGTCATGAGTTGGGCCTATCATTTTAAATAATTCTACTAGTACAAATAAAATAAGGTAGGAATTTTTATTATGTAGTAGTCTTGAAATTATTTTGATCGTGGTTATTGGTCAGGTTTAATCTGCTATGTATTCATTTGAAACATCTGCTGCACTACAAAAATATTTCAAATTTTTAGAGAAAATTTGTAAAAACCTTCTGCTATGTTGATAGTTATTTAGATATTGAAAACAAATCTCACTGCATCCTGCTAAACAACACATTTATTTTTCATATCAGGTTTAAATTTGTTTATATGTTTAATTGCATGCATATCACAGCACTTACCAAATAAACTAGAATCACAGAAGTTTCAAAACTATTCATATTATTGTCTGTTAACAACCACATTCTGAATGTTTAAGCAGCAATGCTGATAGGCTCTCAGCATACCAGAGCAAGACATTTTCTGCACTATTACATTTTTAATAATGTGGTTTACTTGGTCTGAGCATAAGATTTAGATCCAAAACTCCTGGGTACTTACAAGAAATGAGAGGTCATTAGCCATGCTAATCTTAAGTCAGGAAGGGCACTGTTGCACCTTAGAGCCTAACTGGTTCACAGGCACAAACTTTCATAAGTAAAGGCCTACTTCATCAGATATTTTGTCATCCTGCTTTACGTAAATGAACTGAGCAATCCAGTAATTCATAAAAATGATGTATTTGACAATTATGCCTGTTTTTTCTTTTCCAGGAATATTTAAAAGAGACTGTGATTATTTCAAATGTATCTGTTAGTCAAAATTATTTGACAAGTTTCATTTTTTTAAACACTGTGACTTGCTATTTAAAAGTCAAAGCACAAATTATTGTTTAAATAAGGCATATGATTCTGTTTCTGTGATTGATGGGATGTGTGTGAGCCTAACAATCAGGTTTCTGGTGTGAAAATAAATTTACAACGTGCTTTCTATAAGCACATGCGCTAATAAAACTTGATTTCAATAATATCCAGAATACATGAAGCAAATGGAGTGGGTTTATGAGAGGTTTTTAATTTAATATTGGTTCTCTAAATCTAAATAATTTTAAAGTATATTACATAGCTTATGTGTAGAAAAAATATTTTCATTGTACTATTATTTTGTGTGAGAGTGTGCATGTATCTCGTTAAACTTATTGAATAATATTTATTTCACTAGTCAAGTCTTCTATTTCAGGATGTAAATGAACTTAGTTATAAAAAGGGATTTATGGGACAAAGTTTACATTTTCTGTATTTGTCCATGACAGCAATTAATTTTTAGTGCACAAACAATTGTTACTTACATTAACTTCTGTTATAGCAATATCAACGACGCTACCAACAACAATTAAGGCATCAAAAGTGTTCCATGCATCAGTGAAATAGTGCTGTTAGGACAAGCATTCAGCAGAAAGAGGGCAGGAGAAAACCACAAACAGAAAAAGAGAAGAAAAGGACAGTGTTATTACACAGAAACATTCGAGACTCATCTGATGCACCAGTAAACAATCTTTTCCTTTCAAGTCTGAGAAAATCAAAATTGTACATGGCTATTTATTTCCCATATCAACAGAACTGTGCTATGACTGGTCTGTATTCAAAGCTTAGAAATATCAGATCAAAATCTGTGACTTGTCCAGATGATGGAAATAGTGGGGTGACCAGGAAAGAGAAGTAGGGACTGTGGAAAGTAAGCTGGGGTATACTCACATCGGCTTCACTGAGAACGACGTCTACTATGCTGCCAATAACGATGAGGGAGTCAAACGTGTTCCAGGCATCACTAAAATAGCCCTGAACAGAGCAGGCAGGGTGCAAATATTTGTGATTACACATGAAATGTCAAATATCTGCATACTTCTGTTTAGGTTTGCATAAACAGAAATTACTCAAAATCTGTGGTCTAATGAGAAAACAAAACAAAACAAACAATATTGCCTACTGAAGGAAAAGTAACGTGTGTGTATAGGTATATGTACATATGAAGGTATGTACATATGTTTATATATGTATGCACACACATACAGGCACACATGCACACCTATATAATACACATGCACAGTACACATCATGTAAGCACAGAAATGGGAAATGAGCCATTAATTAGAACTCTGTTTATTGATTCTCAGTGATGTTTAACATTTCTCACATATGTATCTAAACAAATTAATCTTTGGCCATGTTGGGACCTCCTCACCGTAGTGACTTCCTAATAGTCTCTGCTAATTGACAGGCAGGATAACATCTCTTAGAGTTGTGAATGTTACGTGGGCACAGAGGGCAAAAATTTATCTTATATGGTAAACCAGGACAAAGAGCTAGGGTTTAACAACTCAAGATGACTTAGCACTTAGGGCCTGACTGCACCACTGAACTCAGTGGGACTTCTGAACCTGACTTTCACAGGAACTGAAGCAGGTCCTTAATGGTGGGGCCCCAGAGAGAAGGAATTTTTGTAAATCATTTAATTTGGCTTGCTTAGAACCTTCCTATCTTGAAATATGTCTTACACATTATTGATGCACTAATTCAACTGGTCACAATGCATTAAGAAAGACTAAGCACCCATCCCATCACTGTCGTATGGGGCCTTCACATTTAATTTATGCAAAGAGAGATTTTAAAAAAAATGTTGGGGTGTTTCTCAGGTAAACCTAGGCTTAGTTCTGGATGCTGGTAAAAAGAAAATAACCTGATCCATTAGTTTACTCAATGTGACTCTGGAAAGGGAGATGTGTTGTTTTTTCTTTATTTCGATGTTATCTTCTTAGTGAGGCAATCCAGATGCATTGCAACAATTTAATCAGATCTAAACATAATGAAAACTACAGGATAACCAGATATGTTCTGTTTTCCAATCCAGATACACTGACATATCAGCCAGTTACTGCTAATGAAGCTAGAGTGGATACAAATGGACATTTTAGGAGAAATCCTTAAAAAAAACCAGATTTCCTAATGACCTCAATAGACTAGTACTCTGGATCAATTAAAATACTAGGGAAACATCTACTTTGCCTTCACAGTACAAACACATTTGTAAAAGTATTAAATTTGGGGCATAAGTTTAAAAAAATACGTAGCAAAACTTCTAAAAGAGCAAAAGGGCTAACCTTAATTTTCTGTTTAGATACTTTTAGCATCACACTACTTACTGAGAGATCTACAGCAGCAGTGACTTTAGGCTGATATTACAGGACATGAAAATAGTAGACCACTAATCTATTTAACAGTAGAGCAAAGCAGAATTAGTGAAAAAATATCTAAAGCTGGGCAATATTTTTGATAATTTTTCCCTCAGAATTTTACATTTCCTATTTTGTTTTTCTGCCAAGATTCTAGGTTTAGAAATTATTAGTTGTAAAGCATATGGAATTCAAAAAGCCACTTTTACGTGAACATCTCCTTTTTGGAATTTTGAAAGAGCTGCTCATAAAGGAGAAACAGTTCTATATACTGAACCTTGGAGTTAGGAGAACTTGAGTTTTGTTTGTTTTTAGTTCTCTACTGTCTGTTCTTACAACACTGCACATATACAACACTTTAAAAACTGTATTTATTTTTAATGGCCAACCTACCACCCTGGAAAAAGATAAAAGTAATTATAGTTTATTTTAAGTGAAGAAAAAAGGTCAGTGTTTGGTCACCACTAGAGTCTTGCATTAATCAGCCCTATGACACTAGTCATCAGTTCCAGCACGGGGAAATTCATGTATTTGGCTTCTTAACCAATCAAGTCCAGTTCTCAAATTTTCTACCTAAACATCATTTCTCCCCTGTCATATTTTCTCCTTCCCTACCTCTTTCTAACAATAAGCCATTCTTATTTTTGCATTTTCTGTCATGAAACAGCATGTCAATCCAGCTTAACAGCACTGAAATGAAGAGAATCTGCAACATGCTGGCAGGTAGTGAATAAAACAGGGAAGTTGTCCTCAAAATATTCTTTTCATTTTTTTATTTATTTGATTTCTCTTTTTTATTTTTAAAGTAAATGTCTTAACTGAATGTTGCAAAATTATATATAATGAAGAACAAACTATGGACAAGCAACAATCAGATACTCTGTCAAATTTCAGTGTGCTATCCCATAGCCCCCTCACAGAATGTCAATTAAGAGTATGCCTATACTGGGTGGGCAAAATGCGGCTTGTGGGCCAGATGTGGCCCTCCAGGCCATTCTATCCAGTCTGTGGGGCCCCTAAAAAATTTAGAAAATTAATACTTATCTGCCCCTGGCTGCCTGTCATGCGGCCCTCGATGGCTTGCCAAAACTCAGTAAATGGTAGGGCTGTGTGAAACGGGCCCTATTAGATTTGGATTCAGCCCAAACTGGGGACAATGATTCAATCCATTGATTCGGATCACTGTCCCTGATTCAATTCGGCCGAATCCAGATTTGAAGATTTGATGCTAATTCAGCAAATCAGCAATTTGGACACAGGCACAGCTTTAAAAGTTTTTCCACATAACTCGAGGTACCAGTGTGGCTCGTGATCACTGTGGTGCTGGGGCACATGGAGCATCCCACAGGAGAACGAGAGGCTGTCCAGCGTGCTTGGCAGTGAACCCAGAAGTGGACTGGAAGTACTTCCAGTCTACTTCCAGGTCTGCTGGGGAGCATGCTGGGGGGTCCCCCTGTGCCTCCATGGCTCAGCGATAGGCTGCAGAGGGACCACCGGGTGCTCCCCTCAGACCCAGGAGACACCAGTCACTGAGACAAGGGCGGGGGGTGTGCAGCAAGGCCCCCCTGCACACTCCTCGGTTGACCAGGAAGTGGACTGGAAATGCTTCTGGTCCATTTCTGGGCCTGCTGCTAAGCACACTGGCAAGCCCCCCTGTGCTTCTGTGGGATGCTGCATCTGCAGTGTTTAGAGCTCCTGCTAACCTAGAGATATGTAGAAAAAACATTTAAAGCTGTATCTATGTCTGAATCGCCGAATCTGTCTGAATCTCTCCAAATTGATTCGGAGGGTTCCAAGTTGATTCAGAGAGATGAAAGGGTACTCTGATTCGATTTACATTCAGAGATTCGGCCCCAAATCGGGCTGAATCTCCACTGAATTGAATCAGGGACTGAAGCATCACACAGCCCTAGTAAGCGGCCCTCCGCCCAAAATAATTGCCCGCCCCTAGTTTATATGGTAAACAGCTTATGTTCTGGTTCTCTGTAGAAAAGTTAATTTCCTTTATGGAAAATATTTTTTTTTAGACATTACTGTAATGTGGCACTTTAAATATGACAGTCACATTTTAATTTCATATTGCTAAATCACCTTTAGACATTTGCTTATTTTCCCAAATCTTTTCCATCAGTACAGACAACTATTGTTCAAAGTAATTTGTAAAGCAAAAGCAAACAAAAATAAACAAAAGAAAATAAAGATGATTTTGGAAAAGGGAGGAATGGACAAGTCACAGCAAATAAACATCATGCAAAGTAGTAGTTTTGGGCACTGCAGTCATCCAAGATCAGTTCACTTACTAGCCATCTTTCCTTTTTTCTTACAAAAATCTAATATAAAATGGCACAGAAAATCATTACAAGTTCAAGTTGTGGTTGGCTTTCATGAAGTTATGTATATAGTATATACTGACACATCATTTTAGATTTCATAGAATTATGTTGTTTTGTACTAACTATACCAAGAAAACAAATTTTGGCATCTGCAAAGAACAAAGTCTGTCCTATTAACTGAGACTGTGAAAATTTAATTCTTCAACAAATGCAGCAGAGTAAATTATAAATTCTGCAGAGTATCTAGACATACAAAATTAAACACAAAACACATTACTTCTGATCTATCACTTAATATTTTAGGGATTATAATAAGCTATTACATATTACATACCAATCCTGAAAAATATAGTCAACAAGAGTCTAGGGTGTGCTTATATATGTGGTCTGGGAGTGGAGGGGAAGGATGTGTTTTAATTGAAGTGGCTCCCAGAGCCACTCTAATTAAAGCACCTGAAGTGTCACATGCATCAGCGTCCCTGTACTGATAAATGGCGGTAGGAGCGCTGTAAACAAGCTTTAGTTAAAGTGCCCCCACCGTCATTTTTTAGTGCTAGGGCACTGATACACATGATGATGGTGTCTGTTGGAGAATAGTAATTACTACGCTCCAGCAGACCCCAATTAATTGAGTCTGCTCCGATGCACTATAATTACAGTGCATTGGAGCAGCCTCTCTGCACATGTATAGGTGCCCTACAGCACTGAGCTTCTGCTTTCAGATTAGGCCCTTAATATCTGACATTTAGTACAATATTTATATATTTCAGAATAGGGAAAGCAGTCTTCAGTACCTTGGCTTTACATACCACAATATCATGGCAGGAGTATCAGTAGATTGTAATGGCATTGCTTTGAATGAACATTGGA